TTGTTTTATATTGCAGGTTATGCTACAAGAAAAAATGATGTTATTGAAAATGATTTGTTTAATGATACTGCATTTTATTTTCAGTTATATGGAGACTATACAAAAACTATAGACCGCAGTGGATTGAGTATACCTCTCGATTGCTGTGTGCAGTGGGTATTTTTTTGTTTCATTTTTTTTGAAATTGAGAAAAACAAAATGTGTAGAAAGTCATTGTGTAATACTTTCATGATGATATCTGATATTTATAACTTTAATATGTTAAAGAAACATGGTACAATATTGTCAAACATATTTCTTAAAAATTATTGTTTGCTTTTTTCACCCAAGTCCAATAAAGAACCTGCATTGAAAGTTTTAAAGTTATCTCTATAACATTAAAAAATTATTATGTACATTTTTTTATAACATTATTGATGTATATTTTGATATTTTTTTCTTTTTAATTGATGTATATTATGTTTTTTTCCTTTTTGTTTTTTTGCATTTTATAGTTTGTTCATTTTTTTGTGATTTAGATTTTAAATAATTACTCATTATTCTGAAAAATATTGTATTTTATTCTTTTTTTCAAAAAGTTTTTTTTTATTTTAAATTTGATGATTCTTAATAAACACTGCAATAGACATTTTTTGCATTAATACATTACTTTTTAAAATTTAGTAAACTAACTAAAAATAATGGATTAGTTCGCAAACTTTTCTAGCCATTTTTTATATTTTTCCGTAAGATTGTCCGCCCCCAGTCAAAAATACGGATTCGCGACGGGAAGGTCTGTAATAAGTATCGCCATGGTTTATATCGAATAAATTGCCCTTAAATATTAAAAAAACAAAATATACTTTCTTCCGTCGTCTTAAAGACAACATTCCCTTAAAACTTCCTAAGCTTTTTATTGATAACTCTTATGTCAAAAGAGTTCTTTGTTGTTTCTAGGTGTAGTTTTATATGAAAATGTAACTTGGAAGAAGCACATACGTTTAATCCAAAAAAAAATTAAAAAAAAACAGACCTTTTATGAAAATATAGGCCCATTTTTTGAAAAAATATATTTTTTATACCCAACAAGACTTTCATAAAATAATTATATTCGACCAAAAACATATTAATCTGCAACTAAGTTCTCGATTGTAGATCAAATAGAGGACCTAAATTATGGAGCTCGCTATTGGATAAATTTATTTCCTTAATCAATTTAAAAGTAAAATAAAAAATAAACTTTTGATAATTGACAATGAACAAGACTTCTTCTGAAACTTTTAAATAGGGGAGTAATCACTTGTTTTTTTACCTGTTATTTACTTTATTTTTTGCTCATATTTATTTTTGATTTTAATCTGAATTTTTACCTTTCTTTGATGTTCATGTTTTATCGTATTTTTAATTATTTTTAAATTCGAAATCTTAATAAAAAATATATATATATATATATATATATATATATATATATATATATATATTGTTATTTTACCTTTTTACTAGACTTTCAATTATAATTAGCTGTTTTTTCCTTTATCTTACATTCTTTTTATAACTTTTATTCTTTCTTCGATTATTGTACTGTAGTCCAATATATAAACCCCACTAAACGGGGTAATATTGGTCTATAAAAAAAAACACTTTTTTTGATGTAGTTAACTAAAAATAATGTCTAATCATGGTTTTAAAATAATTTTTTTCAAAAAATAAATTGTTTTGCAATTTATTCATTTCGTCCTTTGAAATAAGTTTTACAATGTTTTACAACATAACAATATAAAGTTTTGAAAAATTCCGACTGGAGCTGACAGAAGAAATGGTCTTGTCCAGCTCCGTTGTTACAAATTTAGACATAATCTTGTATATAATACACATGCATAAACTTTTTATTTTTTTAATTCTTTGATTTTTAATTTTTAATTTTTTTTACGTCAATATAATAACATTACTTTGAAATCCATACACATTGAAGAAAATACTTATTGAAAAAATAAAAAATATATATTGCGTCAATATATTTGATATTAAATAACTAAGGTTAAATTAAGGCTTTAAAAGTTAGTAATTGATTATAATCTGTACAGTGGTGGGTTTTAGGGAGGGGGGAGCATGGAAATAGTACCCTCCCCTCCCTTGGGATTTTTTTTCAAAATATTCTTTTGTAAATTGACTATTATACAGAATTGGACTATTATACTGAAGAATGAAATTGACTATTATACGTAATTATACGTATATGAACTTAATTATTACATTAAAGTACAAAAAAATTAAAAAAGTTACTTAAAAATGAAAAATATGCAAACCTTTTTTTTTATAAAGACCTTTTTAGTTTGAGTGACAAAACCCGCCCCTGAATCTGTAAACAACAAGTTTAATGCTATATATTTATTTTTCTCGAAATCAAAAATAGCTTAAAAAAAACCTAGATTACCCCACCCTACTCTACGTCTACGCTCTTTTATAGAACTAATGTCCTACATATGGGCTCAAGTGAGTTATTTCGATAAAATAAATAAAT